CGAAGCTGAAGGATGCGCTACACTCTGCAGCAGGGTTACTTGCAAGTGTGATCAAGCGCGCGTGCAAGCCAGCATGTACGTCCGCTTACAAATCTTAGAAGCATACAGCGCTCCTGCAAAAGCATGTGAGCACGTGTAAGTGCACTTGTGCACCCAACACGATTGTGCATCTTGGCATGGGTGACACCCCCCAACCCATTCCTGTGAAGCCTCTCTCAAGCCTCCACGTCAAGCCAGACCCCATGTCCCAATTCGCACCCCCGCATTCCCTTTTGGAAAATCCGTCGTCGATGGTTCCCAAGCATCGCCTAACGCTATTGGTGGCGACATCGTGGCTACAGTCCAGAGATGGCTCAAGGCAACAGTCGCAAAAGTCTTGCAACAGTATTGCAGGCACGTCAGGTTCCTTGACGAACTTGTGGATCTCTTTGCCGCCATCTGACTGAGTCATCATGCCTCAGAGAGCCAGCTGAGCACCCTGCCAGCCATAAAGCCTTGCTTGGAGGTATGCCTATAGTGCCCGGTCAGATCGAGCTGAAACAGGTTCTATAGAAGATGGCCCACCGGGGTCTGTCAGTCAAGCCGCGCATGCCCACACGCTCCTTGTGCTTTAGATCAAACTCGTCCAGGGCCATAGGCTTCGATCCTCGCACGAAACTGCATACCTATAACGACTCCCGAAAGGCGTCGAAAGGTCGAGACGCATGATTATATGCACAGCGCTTCAGCCTTCCACAAACCGCGCAAAACGTCCCCAGCTTTAGACCTGCCTGGCATACCCCCTTCGTGCGGTGGGTCCTTTTGCCCTCGAGATGATCGGCTCTTTGCACCACTGAGAGAGAATGCCAGAAATCGACCGCAAGTTGCCTCGGCAATGAGTGCTTGGACTTCTTTCCCCGGATCCGCAATGAGATCCGCCGAGCGGCCCTTCATGATCTCAACGACTCCTGAGACATCGCTGACCACCCTCATAGTGTTCCTTGGCCGCTTCGGAAAGTAATGCTGGTCGTCTATCGTGGATGCGCCTTGCCACTGGCTAGTGCTGCCCAGGCTCTCAATAAACTCGGGGATCTTGTCCTCGCTGCGCCACTTCAGCTCCGTAAGGCCGGGCGACAAGACCTTTGCAGGAGATGGGCTGTTAATTGTGCTGAACTCTGTGCTTGTATGTGCTTCTCGTATTTGGAGTTCCACTGATGACCGCCTTCGGGCTCACCTCCCCCTCATCTATGCAAGCTCGCAGAAGAAAGAACTCGCATAAACTCTTTTGGGCGATTCCACCAGGGCCTGGTCCATCTTGGCAATGCGGTCTTCCAGAAGCGGCTCCTCGACGGGCAGCAGCTCCGTTAGCACTGCATTGTACCTTGGCACATGGGTCACACTCAGCTACTGATGCGATGGGAACCATTGAGACGGTCCAAAGGCGATACTTGAGCACCCAGGCTGCATGCCCACGATGTGGTCCATCTGTGCGACCCACTGTCTATACGTGGCCACGCGGTCGAACATTTCCAGAGCTGCCTTTGTGGTGACAAGCCAGGGATGGGCAAAGCATGGCAAAGCATACCCGTTGAAAGTCCCCAAGAAAGAGTATCCTGGGTTGGCCGAGGCACGGGAGGCACTTCGATGTCGAAGATCAGGAAGAAGCGCACTTCCCGCAAGAGGCGGACCAAGGCCGGGTCGAAGTTGACCTTCAGCAGGCCGGACTTCTCCTGTCGCCTGAGTAGCCTCATCTTGAGCTTCTCCTTCGCAGCCTCCACGGAGGTTTGCTCCCAAGTTTGGTAGCGCTGCAGTTCGTAGTCTTGCAGCATCTTGTCCAGTGTTTGATGTTGCTTTTTCACTTCTCTGAACTCTTCCGGTGTCTCCCTCAGCGCAAGGTTGTAGAAGGCAAGCTTGTTCATAGGCTCGTTGATGCGGTGCCTTGAGCAGCGTGCCCAGTAGATGGCACCAGCCGCTGGAGGCAAGTTCGAGAAAATTGGTGCATCATCATAGCACTGGTCGACTTTGTCCTTCGCCTGCACCATTTGCTTACGGCCCTCTCAGCCTTTAAGCATGAAGAGAACCTGTTGCTTAAGACTATAGACCGTGCGGCAGCCCTGCAACGCACTGCAACGCACTGCAACGCACCTCCACAAAGCCAGTCTCGACGGCAGTGAGGTCCTGCTCGACCTCGCAAGGATCAGTCGGGCCGTCGCCTTTGCCCGCACAATCCCGCAGATGTGCGCTCTACACCTAAAGACAGTTGTTCGAAGCACGTGCTTGGGGCCTGGTGCAACAGCATCTTGTGCTTCTTCTCCAGCTCTGCCTGGCATGCTGGGTCAATTGCAGGCCGCCGATGCATTAGCAACTTTCTGAAGGAGGCCTGGATGATCGGACGTTCCAGCAATCCCTCGAAAATATCGAAGAGCTTGATGCGCATGTTGATAGTGTCCAAATCCTTTGCCGTATGCTGACACAGAAAGCAAGCGTCCTCACACACCTCATGCTCAGCGATCGATAGCACAATCACAGAACTATGCCATGCTATGCGTGTGCAAGGCACGGACACGACGTGAAAACTTCACTTAGCTTGATAGCTCTCTGTGCTCCACCTTCCATGCCTCGATGACCTCCATCCAGCCGAGGCTCGTCAAAAGCCGAGCCCAGGAGGCTGCCAAGTCGCCGGTCCAAATCCTTGACCGTCATGCGGAACTTGAAGTAATCATGCTCGAACCTCGGGTTCCAACATATTTCAACTCATCTCAACAAGCGGCATACACATGATCCTGTGACACAAACGACCACCAATGCTGTTTCTGACAAGAGAAACTGCACTTCTCCGACATCCATGATGTCGTAGCTCACACTTTTGAAGGTCTCAACACACTTCAGGAACTCTTCTTTGATGGCCACCACGCAATCCGAAAGGACCTGATTTCGCTGTTTCGATGCAGGTGCGAACAAGGTCTAGAAACGCAGCAGCGATGACGCCTAGACAAAAGCGAGGTCAGCTCTAGCCGCGCGACCTTTCCCTTCGTTCCACCAATCTCCACACGCTCCAGCTTGGAGAACTGAATTACCTTGTGCGAATCTGGCAGGCAGCCAGCCCACCAAGTTTCAGACACGAGATGCAGCAGAAACTTCAACAGCCCCCCCGTGACTTCATTACCGTAAGCCATCCTACCTGAAAGATTGCCTCAAATTGTGCAAACCAGAGAACCGTGCGAGTGAAGTCGAGGGCGTCACGGCAACGATCTCGGAAGGAGTCCAGGCGAACGAAAAGTGCATCGTTCTTCCTTGGGCTCCAGTGGCTCGAACCACTTCACCGTTCTTTCAAAGTAGCATTCACACCCCATAAGAATCTATGCAGGCTGAAGTGCATCTTCCATCCCGAACCATCCTGATTGAGCGCTATGTCCTTGAACAACAGGTAGGCATCCTTGAAGGAAGTGCAGATCCTGCAATGATGTCGGGACAGACGAACAAAGGCACAAGTCCCTGCGCTTGCCTGCGCCGCATTTCCCCACCTGGAGCCTCATGCTTTAAGTAACCGTGCCGGAATTCCTGTACGTGTTCTCGAGCTTGGCATAACACTCGGACGTCTCTTCCGAGGAAATCATTGTGAAAATGTCGCTGCCGTTGATGTACCGAACTGCCTGCGCAATGATGGAGTTGCCTGAGCATATCTTCAATGCAAGGCCATGCTTCACTACAACGTGCACTTACATTCCAAAGGCCAAATGCCACGACATCTTTCCACGACAAGCAGCAAATCTCTCTGATGAGGACAGCTAAACGAGTTGGCGTAGTGTAGAACTTGGAGTAGCGCCAAATAAGGAGAATGTTATGGAGAACCGGCTCGAACAGTTGCTCCAACTGCTCGAAATCGGCGCTGTCGCTTGTGAGCTTATCGATTGACCTAAGGCAAGATTGAGTTGATTGAGACACGACGAGTATGGGCAGCGTGCAGCTGAATTGCAGGTAAGCTTAGCGTCAAGGGGCTTCGTCAACGTTGACAAGAACTTCACGTTGTCATTCGCCTCTTCCCGAGCCTCCTCGACCTCCTTCTGCAACTTTGAAAACGGAGCTGTGTAGGTGCTCTTGTTCGTCTCAAGGAACTTCAAGACCTTCTTCAGCGCATCCATCCCCAACTGAGAGTGGATGGAATTCAAGTTCGCGGCCTTGCTACGCCAGAACTTGAGCTCAGCACTCGGCTCCGGGTTTTTGCCGTCTTTGAGCAACACCTCCGGATCCTGCTTGAGCACGTGCCGGATCTGCTTGGTCCATGTGATGACGGCCCCTTCAAGGACGTGCACTTTGTCCTTGCCACCAGATGACCCAGCACCACCGGAAGCAGCTGCCATGCCCCCACTGGTGGGGAGCGCATCTCGTGGCGGATGGGGCAGCCACGTGTGTCCTTTCATGAGACCTACTGTCACATGAAGGCTTGCCAAGAAGACGTGGTACTTGTCCATGAGGTCCTTGGCGATCAGGTCCGACCATCCTGCCTGATTTGCAGGGTTCGTCAGCGTTGACAGGTACACTGACTGGCAATACATGTTCAGCAGGTCCATCACGTTCTTGGTCATCTCCATGAGGATGACTGACTCCGCAATGGTTTCCTTGCTGATCTGGACTTCGGGGCTTGATCTATGCATGGCCACGAACTTCTTTCTCATCTGTGTAGCTGAAGGGAGGTCCACCGTGCAGGTGACTGATTCGCTGCTAGGAATGAAAAAGCAGGCTGGGACCTCCGGCTCGTCCATGAAGCGTGCCAAAGCTCTAGCAGAAGCCTCCTCTGTAGTGAAACCGCTGATGAATTTATCTGACTTTTCCGGCCGGACCCCAAGGAGCACCATGAGCCTGTTCAGTGTCCATAGGGTACGTGCCTCCACGCCTTTGGCGGAGCCCTCACCTTCTGCCATGGCGGAGGAAAATGGAAAAGAAAGTAAAACGGATCCGCTCGCAGGATCCCTAGGAGAGCTGATTTCACTCTTCCGAGCTTGAGCCACAAAATCAAGAAGCCGGGCACCCTATGCTCGGAACATCTCGGAACACCTTCCCCCCATAGTACATCGCTAAGTCTTGCGTCTCGCCTTGAGTCTCAACAAATCAAAAAAGCAAACACTGGAATGAAGTAGGATCCAAGCCAAGAAAAACTTCCCCTGCGTCAGACGTGTCAGCATACATGGTGCTCCAAGAGTCTTATGAACAAACAGGCGTCATACAGTTGTATGTGATGACATCGGGCTTCAAGTTTGCGTTCAGCATCTCCCGGAATTTGACTTCGGCCTGTACGAAGGTTGGTTTTCGGTTGTCCGCTATACTGACCAGCTTCCTGACGCCCGCTGCTGGAGTCTGTGAGCATGACAGCGGGGGCACACTCAATTGCACATTGGGAGATCATATGAAGCTATGGTACAATGCCACAGTCACGACTCACGACGCAGCGAAGCTGGTGCAACTGCTGTGCCAGCCTGGTTAACGTCACCTTCCCGAGAGTAGCCACTGAGCATAGCATTGTAAACCTCTACCGCTGGAGGCACTCCTTCACAGGGCAAAGAGTCTGACATAGTCTGACCACAGAACCCTTCCCAAATAACCACAACTTGGTGTAAAGAAGCTGTCCCAGCCGAGCATCCTCTCGTTTTGAGATCCGCCACCATGGCCTGGACAAGATTCCGATTCATGCAAATTGCGGTATGAGCCTCTTGTGCGCAGAACGGCTCACTGCTCATCCTAGCATAATCTTGTGTCTTGCGAGCACCTGCATGTCCTCAGACTGACCAGAGTTGGAATGTGTATTGGTGTTGTTCCGCGAATCATCGCGAATCGGAATCAGATCCCCAGAGTCAAGTGTAAAGCTCCAAGTCTCTTGGTAAACGCAAGTCTTACGTCAGAGGTTTACATAACGTGTGCCTCTGCATGACGGTTTAACAAGCAGGGAACTCGCGTGCTTCTTCACATTCAAGTGTCCTGATCCCAACACAGCCATAGCTACAGCCATCATCAGCCATCATCAGACCAGGCACTGCACCAGCCTCAGGCCGCCCACTTTTCGAGCAGCCATGGACAAGTGATGTCAGTGTTGACGCCGAGGGCTCCAGTTGACGCCCACGCATCTGAAGCGGGAGACACCCCTGCTTCTCTCTGACATTCAGATAACATTAATGACCTATCTCGATCTGTTTTGGCCGAGGTATGCCAAGTTGCGGCTAAAAATTCGCATCATTGCACAGATGGTTGCAGCTCTCATGCTCACACCACGCAGCGGCTCGCGCAAAATGACTTCCCGCAGTCCAGGGCGGGCAGCATCCCAAGACTATCCCTCCACAATCTTTCAACAGCCCAAGCCGCCCAAGCCTCTCGAAGCCAGATTTCGGCTTGCACGGGCTTGCCTATGTCTGACTGTCTATGTCAAAAGTTCTCAACACGAAAGAGCTAGGCGCATGGATTCACGCATGTTCAAACATTCTCACCTCGCTGGGCCCAAGCTGCTGCGACCGCCCCGAAGCTGTCGGAACTGACCTCCAGGCCTGGTCCGTGTCTTGGACATCTTGGATTTGGCTATCTTCGGACCCGTCACACTCAATTGGTTTACCATTTTGCAGCAATGCACCCAAACAGTCCTTGCAGGTACCTGGCAATCTTCTACAGTAACTTCACTGGTCATGCCTTGTCGGACCATCTCCTGGCTTTTCGTCGGCATCACACAATCGCATCGCTCAGGATTCTCCCATATTCCCCCCGCCTCCAACCAGTGCTGCGCCTTCTCTGCGCAGCCAAGCTTTGCGAAGCCGGCACTCAAAGCCTCGGTGCTTGACAAACCTTCCGGTAGAAGCCCGTGCCCGTCCCTTTTGGAAGTGAGGGGGTCCGGGGGATAGGTTTTCAACACAGGCTTTGGCTTTGCGGGGCTTTCCCGTTCTGCCACGCGGCTCCCATGGCGACCGAGTCCAGCACCAGACCTGGGACTCGCGGAGGCCAAAGAATGCTTCTTGGCAGTGATGACGACTGGGAATGCTCTTTGGGGCTGCGCGCCCTCAGCACCGGCTTCTAGCAGGAAAGCCTCTGCTTCCACTGGCCGCCCGGCCTGATGCTCGCACAAAGTGCACAAAGCAATGCACAGTTGCCAGGTCCTGCCTTTGCAAAAGCACTCGCTACGGATGTGTACGACACCATGTCCACCTCGAGACCTGACGCTGCGTGGCTGCGGGCGCACCAGAACTCAAGCTTCCTGAACAGGGCGAGGCCTGCAGCGCGTTGGTGCTGCAAGAGCCACACCGCCTGCTCAGGCTTTGCAGCTTCCGCAGCTGCCCTGTCATGTCCAGGCTGGTGCTTTGGCGAAACACTGCGAGACATAGCACCAAGAGGTACCTGATGAGCTTGCCAAACGTTCGGCCATTGATACCTGGGAGCACCACCATCATGGGGTCGGCTAGCCACTACTCCGTGTCCACAGCCACAAAACCAGTGTGACTCGCAGATGTTTGCAAAAAAAGTGCGCACACGCTGCGCCTGCATTTCCTAGGCTGATTTGCAAGAGCCAAGCAGAACTACACGCCACTTATCGGAAGCATCGGAAACCTGGCGCATTCTACCTGGGGCCCGCACGTGAAAATGTTCCGTAGCACCACCCAGGTCACCAGCAATGGCATGAGCCTCAATTAAAGGGCAGAAAAGGGCTAACAAGTCACAAAACCAGCAGCTGGCCTTCAACATCGTGTTCCACACCATGGTTCTCATGGTCCTCAGTCCAAGATGCCCAAAAACCTTTACCCGCATTCTGCAGCAGGTCATTGCACGATTTGGACTCTGCCCCCTGCCTGGGATCCCTGAGCCGAAGGGCCTCGAAGTAGCGCTTTGCTGTAGCGACATCCCCAGCCTCGGCTAACAAAAAGCGCGCTCGCAAGAACTCGCGACTAACTGTCTAACTCGTGCGGCTTACAATCGGCAAGGCCCAAGCAATGGCGGCTGCATTGAGCGCAGCAAGCTGTGCAGCTTTGGCCATCGTTTGCCACAGCGTCACCGAAGCCGAACCGGCAGCACGACATTTGCAGATGCAAACCAATTCTTCTGGTAAGCCACACTAAGCCACTTCAAGGCTCGTATCTCCCCGATTTCAATCAGAAGCTTCAGATTACTGCAACACCTATGCTCGGACCCTCTAGGGTGTTCAGGAGTTGCTTTGACAAGTGGACTTACCCTCTACGAGAATAAGCGCCCTGCGGCAAGCAGAACCCTCCGCAAAGCAACGGCAAGAGCGACACTTGACGGCAACATGGCCTTGCCTTTGGTGCCTCAGCTCTACCTCTTGACAGCTTACCGACCCAGGGCCACAAAAGGTCTGTGGGCGTCACGCTCAGCGCAGTGTCCAACTTTCTGCTCCTGCAGGAAATACTGAATCAGAAATATGCATTCAGCCAAGACATAGAGGTGCTTTCGTGCACAGCTCAATTTTAAGTCGCATGATCGGTACTTCTCGGTCATGCTTGCAAATGGCTCAATGATGCATAAGGCGGGCATGGCTCGTTTGGCTGAGCCCTATCAACAAACGGGTCAGGATGTTGGGACGAGACCTTTCTGGCTCGATGGGCTCCACGCATTGAAACTTCCATATCTGAGCTCGGTGGAGAAGAGAGGCACGTCGAAAGGTATGCCTATGCCGTGCGAAAACCTCGTGCTATCCGCAACCTTCTCACATGTGATTGTCCGTGCTTGTCTGCTCTCCACCTGAGAATTTCAAGCCGCGGCAGCTGAGAAGACCTTTGCCACGATTCGACCAATCTGAGCTCCGACATCAGTCTCAGACGGTTCCTATCCCAGCTACACTACGACGCATAGATTGCACACCTCCTCTCCTTCATCGATTCTGCATGCTCTTGTGCCAGGTCTTCATGAGCTGCCCAGTTTTTGCTACGAGCGAAATGACATCGACACCTGTGTCTTGCCCTCTTGCCACTAGGCGTGCTTCAAAACACGCTGCCACCGAACAGAAGCTCAGGCAACTCAAACTTCAGAGGCCAGCAAGTCAGAACTACATGAAATAATGAATAGAAGGACACAAAGTTCTCAAATGAAAACAAAGCAGGGGGGGCTGTGCGGCTTCAGTGCAATTAGGCAGAAAGCTCTTCTCTCTTTTTCCCGGTGGAGAGCCCAAGGAGCTGGAGAGCTTTGGTAAAAATGGACACACAATCACAAGCACAGCTCTTTGAGAATCTCCTCCAGTTCAAACATGGTCTGTCAGTGTTGGCTAGAAGTGCACCCTTCCTTGCGCACAGATGTTAAGCTTTAGGCAGTGCTTCAGTTTCACCTTGCCTCTGACACACACGTGTATGTGCAAGTGCGAGGTCTGATGATCAATGCCAACTTGAAGTACTGTCCATTAAGGCTTCTCAATTGTCGCTACACAGCAGATCCATTCACTGCTGTCTGAAAAATAAAAAGTACGTGGGCTGAAAGTGGAACGTGCCACATCTTCGAAGGTGCTGAACAGACAGCTTTGGAGAAACAGGTCATAACGCATGCTCTCTGTCCATTGACAGCACTGTCTGCATCACGTGTGCACAGGAACGAGTTTTCGATTCTCAAACTGTGAGGAAGCCACTGCCAGACAGGTTCTGTACAGGTTCACCCTGTCAAGCCGCAACTCCGCTTGGAGACCAGGAGAGCAACACAAGCATGTGCCATGATGAAACGGCCGTTGAAGCGACACATTGTCAGTTTTGCTTCATTTTCTGTCATTCTTGGCTCCATGCCTGTGGTGACATACTGTGACACATATCGACGCAAAGGCAAAGACACATCTAGGCAATCTAGGCTTCCTGCCGCTGCCTTTCCAAGGACTGAGGTGGCAGGATGCGGCAGGTATGCCGCGGCCAAGTTAGCGCACCAGGCAAGAAGAACACTTGGCACGCTTTACGTTATCTGCACTTCCTGATTGGTCAAATTGCTTGCAGAGCTTGTCTCTGCAAACTGCATTGTATTTACATGGAAGAGCTGTACTTCTACTGAAAAACCTCTGGCTGGTGCAGGTCACTCGGAGTACCCCATGACCTGGAAGGCGGAAGCTTCCACATCTCTTTTGGCGCATCAGGAACGACACGTCAAAGAACGCATTTTCAATTCAGCGTCTGGCTGCTTGAGCCTCTGCCAACCCCCCCAAGATGCCCCGAGGCGCATCCTTAAGAGACTGCAGAACTTCCCTTATCTGCCAAGACACACGCCGCTGCCACTTGGCGAGGGGTGGTCATTGTTAAACCTTGCAGACCCGTGTGGGGGCAGGATATGGCAGCATACAACGGAATGCGACCTGAAGCAGCATGTGGGGCATTGGGGCATGAGCCTGTATTCGCTTGTCGCGTGCCTTCTCACCTAGCTACACAGCCTTGATTAAGCCATGTGCCGCAAACGGTTACAAAGCAATATCAAGGCTAAATAACGGGCATAAAGTGCTTCGTGGCGGTTATCGCAGAACCATGCCGCACAAACCTTCTGTTACCTGCCAAGGGGCATGGATTTACAAACAAGACCTTTGAATACATGTCGTTGGCGTGCAAAAAAAAGGCTCTTGTGCATCCCCAACATTCCCCAACATGCTCAACTTACCAAGTATCTGGTTCGGCTTTCATTGGCGCATATTGGCGTTTTCAATCTTCGAGCCACGGGAACAAAGCAAATCACTTCGTTGCTTAGTTCTTGCAATGCATGGGTTCGAGCTGGTACCTCAAACAAGCAGGATTAACGTCACACAAGCTATTCAAACGTTCCAACCCCCACGTCAAGCACGCAACATCTTTCAATGAAAGTGTGGGCAGCTGGCAAGATGAAAAGGCGACGGCAACACGACTAGACTGACTAGAACCTACTCCAGGAAACTGAAGGGACCTCCTGCGCTTTGAACCTCCGACTCGCATTACTGGCCCTTCCCTGTCCTTTAGCACTCCAGAAATCCGGATCCCGGAGCCAACAGCTTCCAGGGATGAGCTGGAAGCTGACAAACTATCAGGGACTTGACCTTTCACACGTTTCTGCCATTGTCTGCGTCTGCTGCTTCTTCGGAGAATTTCTGGGAACACTGAATCCTAGGCCGAGGAGCGACAGGTCTGGACGAACATGCACACCGTGCATCTGCAGAACTTCATGACCACGAGCCTTTGTGGTCACCAAGCGAAGCATATGAAGCATGACAATGGGGGAAGGCTTGGCTTCAAGGCTTCACATTTTCAGACGGGGCTGGTGCACCAGGTACTCGACAAATGTGTTGGTCTCTGTGCAGAACGAGACAAGCCTAATTGAAGCATGTATGCGACCAGCGTCGCCCCTTTCGTTTCGCTGACCCTGAGGACCAGCAGTCAAAACAACGCCAAGTTTCCAAAGCTCTCTGGACTGTCGAGTTGACTTCAGGGTAGCATTCGATCGAGTTGGCCTGACCTGCACAAGCCCGCAAGCTTTCAGAGGCTTGGCCATGCAGCTAGACGCTGCAAGTTGCGAACGTGCATGCGGTCCTAATTTTGCAGCATTTAAGATTGTCTGAGTCTTGGGCGGAGATGCAACTTATGTCTATGGCGTGTTCAATTTTTCGAGCCTGTCATTCCTTTGCTCGCCAATTCGCTGTCCGATACTGCTTTGCGAATGATCGTGACCACAGTTTGGGGTCAGCCTGCACGGTACACATGTTTTACGACGGGTGCTGCACTTGATCTGGGCTTGCCTCGATAGGTTTAGTTTGGATCACTCGCCCGTGATCCTTCAAATCATTCTTCGGGTTTCGCATGTTTTCGCCAGCCATCAGCCCTTTCAGGGCGAAAGCTCCGCCATGACTTGGTCCACGCCCCTTCGGCTACTCCAGCCATCTCTTCGCCGTCACTCTTTTCTGGTTTCGGGTGCATCGGATGTGTCAAGCCATGTCGTAATGTCGGTACAAGCTCTCATCCAAGTTTTGGGAGAGAAGAACGAGAGAATGCCAGTCGATGATGTGCTAACCATCACCCCACCCCTTAACTCCCTGAGTCCAATGTGACTTCAGGCATCTTCAAGTATTCTTCAAGGCGGCCGAATGCAATCCTGTACGCACATGTCAGGTGAATTGTGCCTCCCAGGCTGAAACGCAGCTGGATGGAGATGCAGTGACGAACAATCTGCACCGCCTGACCGCAGACGCATATGTGGCTCGCAAAACCTCACCCAGTGCGCCTGTGGATACGTGACATGCGTCAAAAGCCCGGAGAAACGACTTGACCTTCACCATCTTCTTGGTGCCGTCACGCTTCTCCAGCCACCTGGACAACATGACGGAGCGACGCAAAGAGTCTGCAGAAAGATTCGTGTGGATTTCGTGGATATGCATGGTCTTGGCCTGAGGTCCTGCTCCAATGTGCCCAGACCACAGGGATCCTGACCTCAGGTCAGCAGTCGATCGAGTGGGAAGGTGAAGACAACGCAAGCTGTTCCCAGCATTGACGACAACCGAAGGCCGTCATGGGCAGTGACTCATGGAAACATTGTCTTAGCTTAGTGTTGCACGGTGGTGTGGCATGTCTAAGTACGTCGCGCAAGCTCATCAGCATCTGAGCCGTATGTTGAAGGGCAGCAGCCTCAGACTAAGGCCACATGCTGTCCGATGTGGAGAGTTTCTGAACCATGGCAAGTCATGTACACGACTCGGATATGCAGCCATTTTGCATAGGATCCACTTGGTGGAAGCTTGGTGCCGACAATAGCCTGTGGCAAGGTCTTTTGAACAGCGCCTACCCCGATAGAGCCATCTCCCTAGCCCCAGGACTGCCCCAAGACTGCAAGATCACAAGTCCTTTCTGTCACCAATTCGGAGCACCATGGCATCTGGCATGCCCAAAATTGCTCATGGCTTGCCTCGATGCGGTGCAGGTCATCGACTGCATATAGTGCACTTTCCCGGCTCAATGGCACCGCCAGTGCACGCTTGTTCCTTGGACATTCCGAGACTTGGACATTGAAGAAGAGCCAATGGTCAGCACGGAAACGTACCAG